CCCTGAATTTTAAATTAATAAGATCATTGAAATGTTAAATTGAGCAAAAATAATTAAGATTGTTAAAGTTTAAAATTGATTATTTCATTTATAAGGTATTAATAATTTTTTGGTAGTATGAAAAAAGAAAGTTTTAGAAAAAGTTAAAATATTCCTAAACTAAGAATGAAATTTTCCCAAAGTTTTTTAACTTAGGAATTGTTTATTTCTTTCTATCTCTTACTATCCTCAATTCTTTTAGTATTTATATTAATTTTATTGACAATCAAAAAATAATTAATTCATAATTCAAATTATTACAGATACATTTTAATCGAAAATGTGGTGTAGATAATGTTTGTACAAGTGATTTACAACTACGAGCCGTTCTACCAGGAATATCGTAAGTATCTAAATGGTTATTTTGAAACAGAATTTAGTTAATTAATTACAGTTCAAATTTGAAATTAATGAAAGAATGGACGATGTAGGATTTTCGTGAAAAAAAAAAGTTTTTTTTTTTTTAAAAAGATTTTCTAACTTTGTAATATTTTATTATTTATTTTAGTATTCGAATAATTATTTTATCGGAATTTAAATTTGAATAATTTTTAGCCAAGAAGAAGATGGAACTTATATAACACAGGTAGGTGAAAAGACCACCATTGATATATCGTTCATGGTAAAAAACAATGCTGAAAGAGCCTATGAAGCAACATTATTCATCGAATATAATGCCAATGAATTGGATATTCCAATTTTAAATAAAAAAGATAGTCCTGTTAATATTGACGATTTCAAGGATAATTTAGTTATTATATCAATTGGAAATCCTATGGAACCAAATAAACAGGTTTTTTTGTTATTTATTTTCAATAATTTAATTAATATTATTTGAATTATCCTTATTTATTATTAGTTAATAAGTAAATATTAGTATTAATGAATGATTAATTTTTGAAATAATTAACACATTTGAAAATTATATGATAATTTTATCGGTTAGGAAACGAATAAAAATTATAAATTGTTGTAATTGAAATAATTTTATAAATATTTTTTTTAGTTAAAATTTGAGCTTAGCTTTCGTATAGCACGTGGACGTACGGAAGGTTTGGGTAAACCATTGGAATTTCGTGCTTTTGTTAATAGTACCAGTGATGAAAAAAATTTGGATGATAATTCATGGAAAGCTATCGTACGTGTAATTAAACGAGCTGAATTAGAACTTAGTGCTATTTCTGATCCGGCTATTGTTAGGTAAATAATTCTTTCATAAATTTTATTAATTGAATAAATTATTTTGCATAAAAAAAAATGAAAGATTGGAAGTGAAATTTTAAATTAAATAGAAAAAGAAAAATTGAAACATTATGATAAAAATAAACAAATTTTCTCAATCATCTAATGAATTTTTTTTTAATTTCAATAAAAATTTAGTAGTAATCCATTGTAATTAATTAATCATACGTTATGTAAATATATGTATATCCTGGATTATGTAGTCTTGGGAGTTATAGATGATTTATAGTTGATAATATATAGCAAGGATATCTGTGCTCGTCCCGTTTAAATTATAGATAAAATTAATTACTCATTAATGCTCTATAATGAGAAATTCATCTCATACGAGTAATTAATGTCATTCATGCTAAAATATGATTGATATGGATATATTAAGTTTCGAATATATTAAAAATATTTTGTTAATTCATTCGAGTGAATGAATAGTTAGCTTAGCTTTTAATTAGAAATTACTATGTTTAAATTTAAATTTAAATTTGTTGTTTAGATATGGTGGCGAAATAAAAGGCGAATCAGAGATGGAATTTGATATAGATATTGGGCCACTTGTTGTGCATAAATATACTGTCACAAATAAAGGACCTTGGTCAGTGTCAAATGTCACCCTTCAGGTTAGGAAGATTAGATTGTATCCATAAAATTTAAATCAAACTTTTTTTTTACTTTTGTTTTTAAATCTTTAAATAAAATCCTTCCATTTTCAAAAGTCAAGTTAAGAATTGGATTTAAATTTCAGGTTGATTGGCCTTATCAGGTAGCAAGTGTTTTCACGACAGGTAAATGGGCATTATATCTTATGGAAACACCAACAATGCAACTAACTAATACTGATAACAGTAAAGATATCAAGCAGTGTACGATGGTTTTATCACATGAACGGGTCAATCCGTTGCAGTTGAAATTTCTTCTGGAAACCGAAAATGAGCTTTACTATGAGGAAGATGATAATGATAATGATGATGATGATGATGATAATGATAATGATGATGATGATGACACACGTCACGAAAATCTTGAAGATGAAGATCTGAATCGATTTAAGGTAAAGTTGGATAATGATCTGTTAGATGAAACACAGTATATTTTATTACTTGGCAAAGTATTATGATTGAAAATTACTTTTACAATCCATTAAACCTTTACATTGATGAATGTCACATCATTATGACTGTACGGTTACGGTCATTCAGTATTATGACCTTCTTTTCCTCATCTGAAGGTCATTCACTACCGTAAAGTTTCTTGCAAAAAAGTCTCACGATGGAATGCAATGCAACTATTACTACCTTCAGTTTACCTTTTTGTAATAAAAGAGGTCATTCCGATAATGTTTTAGATTGTAGTTTGGATAATGGAATACAGATCATTCTATCTAATGATAATAAAAATAATTGAATGAAATCTTTCTCATTAATTCTTCTTAGCTTTCATTAGCGAATTCTAATTAGTATCTAATAGGTCAACATGAAATGGTGAAATATGGCAACAACGGTTGTAATAGTTTTCCTCTTCTCCTTATCTCTTCCTTTATTACTTACTTGCTTCTTTTCCAATTAATTAAAAATTAACAAAAAAAACTTAATTAAAAATTAACTGGAAAAGAAGTCAATGAATTCATTGACTCAAATCAGACGTAAGGCTCGAAACATGTGACAAAACATGTGACAAAAGCGTAATTAATCCAATTTTTATGGAATATTTTTAAAATATTAGATAATGTTTAAAATTCTTTCAGCGAACAGTTGAAGAATATCGTAGGGAGAAGAGACCATCTCGAGAATTGCGCATAAAATCAACAAAAATTCGAGAGAAATCAGGTGAAGAAGTTGAAATTGTCAAAGTGGTAAGTTTCTTATTTGTTCAAATCATTCTTGAATAATCTTTTTCAAAAAGATTTATTAAACATTTCAAAGTAATGATAATTAATTACTTATTATCAACTGATATTCTGCGAATGAAAATATTTGATATTGTGAAGATAAATGCGCCGAGAAGAACAATTGTAAATACCATTCTGAATTTATGCTCTTCAATATTAGGCGAAAAAGTTCCATTCCTTTTAGGATATACCATTGAAGGATTATCCTACCCCATGCGCAATCTGAAATTTACATATTTATTTACAGAATTGCGCTGATATGACAGCGAAATGCTTCACTGTCACATGTCATTTCGATTTTCTGGATGTTGATGCTGCTGCAGTAATAGATTTCCGATCTCGATTATGGAATGCCACTTTTGTTGAAGTAAATTTTCCAATTAACTCAATCGAATCAATCAATATTGCTATTCTTTAACGCTTACCTATAAGAAATCACTTATCTATAAGAAATATGCAAATTCTTTTAATGAATAATATGGAATACGAAAATTTAATCACACAGGAACACACTAACACATGCCTATTATTTAGATATTTCAGCAATCAATCAATATTGCTATTCTTCAACATTACGTATTTTTTTAAGGATTATTATGATATAGCATATGTTGAAATTTTATCATCTGGGCGCTTAATTTTGGATCAAGAGCAAGGTATCGAAGAGAGAAATACACAAAATAATTTTGCATCAGCATCAACTCATGCATATCCGGATCGACCAGCTATACTGGAAACGGCACCAATTCCATGGTGGATAATCGCTCTAGCTGCTATTCTAGGTCTACTAATTTTATTTATCTTAATACTCATTTTCTGGAAATGTGGATTCTTCAAACGAAATCGTCCACATCATCCAACATTGTATCAGGCGGAATATCAATTCCGACGAGAGGAAACAAGTGAGGCATAGAAAATTATTCGATTTTCAAACAATTTTTTCAATTCTAACAAGATTATTTTATTACAAAATTTACAATTGCTAAATTAACGAATTAATCCTTTTTGAAGAGATGAGGATGAGATTTTCTTGAAATGGGTAAATTATTTTCATCCGCACGGGTTAATATTCATAATTTAAATTGTTGTGATGATATTATATGCTTATTCATGATTGTATATTTATTAAATTTTATTTCTCACAAAATTTTTGTACTCTGATAAAAAAAAACTTTCAGAATGATAAATTGATAAACTTTTAAAGTTTGTAATCATTTTCCAAAGTTCTCAAATAATTTTTGACTTATTATATGATTGATTAATCGTCGTTATTTCATTTCCTTCTTGGTTTTTTTTTTTCAAATTATTTGTTTAATGCAGCTTACCCATTAAATTGGTTACAAGGTGCTATCTATATAATTTTAAATTTTCAACTTTTTTAATTTGATTTTTCAATTTAAATTACCACTTTCTTATTTCAAAGATAAATTTGTGATCTTTTATATTGCTTTTAAATGAAAAGATTGAAAATTTTAAACAATTTAAGATCTCAATGACTCATTTAAGTCATTTCAATGGAAATTAACGACTAGAGAGAGGTATTATTGAAAGTACTGTAATTTACCTGAAAGTAAATAATTCATTTCAGTGAATTTCATATTTGCCAATAATTAAGTAAAGTTTATTTTACATATTGTAAATTTACGCTTTAGAAATAAAAAATAAAAGAAAATTTCAATTTTTAGCTGCCATTTTTTGAGATTTTGAAAATTCAAATTTGTCGTCTATTTTCAAATATAACCATATTCATTTCTTTTTTCTTTTTTTTTTGCTCAAATAATTTTTGACCATTTCATATATTTGCATTCATTGAGTGTAAAAAAATAAACAATATTTGGTATATTGCAAATATCAAATTAATTTTGTAAAAAAAAAAAATTTGTGAGTTGTGAAATTTGAAATTTTAATTAATTGTGGCCATTTCATATAATTAAATTTTGGTTGCCATATTGTAATCAGTGAATCTTTTGGTGCTTTATATTTAATAATTTTTATTCTATTTCTTTTTTCCGTTTGTTATTCTTCCATTCATTTCTTATACTTTTTTTGAAAAAGAAAAGTTTTTTTTT